CATGTTCTCACATGAATATCACATGCGGAAATTGCAGGTAATATAGTGATGACTATTACCGTAGTATTTGGGGGGGAAAAACACAATAATGAAGTACAAAAGATGCAAAGAAACCTGAGGGAAATTATTTGATATTTACTTCGAGAAAGTTGTGTGTTATACATTCGGTTAAACTTGCTTCCCCGACAATTGAAGAAGGGGGGGCAGGTTCACATCTAAAAATGGAACTAATCAAACTGAGGATCTCAGTCCATATGTACTGGACTTACATAAATTCAACAAAATGCCCTAAACCAGCTATAACATAGCAGCATGACACATGCGATAAGTTACAGTTTCATCATGTCTCCTCTTCTTTATGTTCACACCGCTGATGTATAAAAATATGTTTGTGTTAACATTTTGTTCCCACTGTGGCTTCATTTTACTTCCACATATGAAACATACTTTGTTTTCAATTACCTGAATATTTCAGGCTTGTGAAAGGGAGGCGAAACTTGCTGTTAAGCACTTTTAAGAGGCACTTGTGGATATTCTCAGTCTGACTCAGTCTCAGGTTGGCTGAGAATCTTCACAGACATTTAGCAACACTTGTGGAGAGTAAGAAGATTGCCTCACCCCAAAAATCAAGCACTGTAGGAGTTAACGTACATTTCGGTTGGTCATACAGGACTCGTGGATTGATGTCACGGTTCAGTGTTTTTGAATGGTCTCTTGCAGTACCCATGACTGGAGTCTTTAAGGCAGTCATGGTCACCGCAGTTTAAAGATGTAATGCTGTGCGATAACACACTTGAAATAGTCCCCCCCCCACCATGGAAAGAGCTGCTTTTAACTCCATGTAGCATTGCTTATGCATTTGCCTGGAATGATATTGCACACTTTATTACATCATAACCGCACAATTAGCTTTCAAACAGTTGGCCGACATGCTTTTGGAACCATTTACAAGGCTCTCTCTAAAACGCCATCATAGGATTTACAGAACAAGATAATACAATTTGGAGATACTTGTTGGACTTGCTGACAATCCGTCCACGATCAAGGTTTCAGTAATCGGCAACAGGGCGTCCACTCATTTCAGGATATTTTATTGTCATTTTATATTTTCTAATTTTTTTAACGTGCAATGAAATGTTAAGCAATTAAGGCTTTTCAATTGGACTAGTTTTCTTTTAACCAAGTAGAAGTAACTGCAGGTACTGTAATGAGATTTACCATTTACCAAATTATCACTCAGTTTTTCTTTAAGTTTCTGTTAGTTTCGGGAAATAATCTCTGTGCATTGCTTAAATAGCAATATGTAATATATAATATCCATATTAACTGTTTTTGAAGCAAGCTGAAAATATTATAAATCAAGTCATTTTAAATTGTACATTTATTTCTTGAATGTGTAGATTTCAAAAACAATAAAATTGCCAAAGATCCTATCAGTTTGTTTAAGCATTTTGGGTAGGGTTTGCGAGCCCATACTTATAACACATCACTATCATGTAAATTTTATAATACTAATGTCAAAAATGATTAATGGTGACCAATGATGAATGCCTTTTAACATACTAACATTTAAAAATATTATTTTTCTACTGAATTTCCATTCATCCTTTGTCCATTCATCTAGTATTTATTTTGCTACTTCAAACAAAAGTAAATATTGTTGTGTAAGACACAATCGATCGGAAATGCAGCCTTTTGAAGTGTGCGTGAGACTCCACAATGTCATGACGCTGAAACACTAAGAAACGGAGAATGCTTGCCTGTGGGGGATCGCAGATACCTTTCCTCTCTGTCCCGTCCCGTCTCGTCTCGTTCCGTTCCGTGCCGTGCCGTCCCATCCTATCCTAATCCCGTCCCTCCTTTGCTCAGTGTTCAAATCCCAGCTTTTAACAGGAGCAGCAAGAGCATTGCAGCCGCCATGCTGAGAGAAACTTCTCACGCTCAAACTGCTGCCTTATTCATTTTCTAGGATCAACCGGGAAAAAAGCTCCACTGTTATGTAAGTTTTGTTTATTGCGCTGTGTAGCTTATGTGTAATGGTAGTTGTTGAAAAGTTTTTGAACAATGGCTTTGGAACAATCCCAATCTTACGTTTGTGTGGTGTCCGTAGCTGAAGTTTGGACATGCACTTGTTTAGATACTACAGGTTAGTCCGCGTCTTTTTCCTTTTCATCCGTCTTTTAAATAGCGTGCGTAGTTTCTGCAGTTTCCTAAACCAGATTAGTATATTAACTAGAATGCATTCTTATGACGAATGAATAGCTTTGAAACTAGTTTTAAACGTTTTATTTTTCCAAGTTGTTAAGAAGCCAATGTTTTATCTTGTGTTACAGAATATATTGCTTGAGTAAAAGTTGAGGAATGCACGGGAATCACCGCAGTTTAAATTTATCGTAAGATTACTAGGTTGCTTCTAAACTTTCTAGAATTAATCTCCCGGTATTTTATAGGTACACGGGCAACTGGGGTGTCATAGGGACGGCCATTCATGCTAAAACGTTCTCTAAAACCTTTTAATCTAAAAGGGTGTTAAATCACCGTCATAATATAAAGTAAAAGTAGCGTGACACTGCGCAAGGAGCTCGATTCACGTCTGAGGTTAAAGCGGATCCCGACAGCAAACTATTTCTTTTCACTGGTGTTCATAGATATTTAAACCGCGGCAGACAAATCTGTGCTAGACTTTGGAAGTCATACAGAAATCTGAATGGATTGTTTACTTATCACAGGAGAAGTTTTAATGTTAAAGTACCTAGTTAACATGTTCAGTTGTTTTCGTACTTGTAATGAATTCACTTTATTTTCGTCGAGGCATTAATATGTAATTTATCTTCTTAAATTGGCTTAGTTCTGATTTGACTGAATGGCAACCTCATTGACCTTGTCTGTCTTCTTAGTTTTGTAGCTGTCTGTCCGAATTGCTGTCACTTGTAAAATTTAGTCCGGAAGTATTGTCTGCCTTTAAACATATTCTAAATTCCTTATTGATATGGCTCTACTCAGAGACAATGTAGACAATCATATAGTCTTTGTCATGGTGATTGCTCTGTATAATATTGGCTGTAATTATTGTTAGATTTGTTTTTTGTATGGTTAACAATAACGTATATGTAAAATAACACTTTAGGTGCTTTCAGATTGTAAGATTTACCCAGTAACAGCTTCATTCTGCTTTAATCTTGGATGGGAAACTTGATAATTAGTGGGAATTCAGCTTAGTGTCAGTAGTGGCCTGCTATCCACATGGGAGATATTGAAGTACATTGACATTGAATGCGACAGCGTTATTATGGTGTTACTTTACATTGGTTAATGTAATGTTCTTGCTGAAGTACATAGTTCACCCATATATCTGTGAAATAGCAAAAAATGCAATTGTAAAATGAACTTTATGGAAGTTTTGGGAAAGGTAATGTTACAAATGTTGGTGTTAGATGGTGTTAGTGGGTATGTTCCTTTCTACAGATCTTCTCGCTGTCTCTTGATGCCTGTGAAATTGTCAGATGGAAACCTGGAAAAAGGAACAAAAAAAAATAACTTGCCAGATAGTTTTTAGTGTCTGTTTAAACAAAACGGGGCTTGAGTAATACATCTCACCGTTTATGTACCCTTGATGAAAGCCAGTGTTTCCTCTTCACATTGCAACACTTTGACATGATCCTTCGTTCCAAAGAGAAACCAATGAAATTGCATAGATGCAAACAAATGCTATCTGCAAACAATAGTGTTAGGTATCATAAAGCATTGTGAGAATCACTGAAACCACACAGCAAAACATCGCCAAAAAACTGCTTGGGATTGTCCAGTCCGTTTAAAAATACCGACCGGCTTGTCTTGTGTTCAAATGCATGGATTATAATTTGGATTAATATAAGAGGTGTAATTGCAAAATAGGCTATTTCACATTTCATTTGTGGTTGCATATTAACGGGAAAGAGAGCCTTTCAGTTAGAACAATGCACCAAAAAAAAACAAAAAAAACATGCAGATTATATGTTGTGAAACACTGCACTGTATCGTTAGAAAAAATGCAGTACTTCATATTTACTGTATATTTATGTAATGATACTGCATTGGTTCTCTGACCCACAACCACCTGCTTTATGTGGGTAACCCGATATGCATTGGTAGCCCCAGTTTTGGTAGAGAACTTTATTTTCTTATCATGCAAAATAACAGTAAGCATTTCAGGCAGTCTGTATCTGTTGCCTTAGGATCAGATGTGCTCGACCCAGGACCCTTGGCTCAATGCCAAGGTAATGGCTTTGTTAGGAAGAGTGAAATGAAAGACTGCCATTATCGGAAGAGTTGAAGGTGACTTTGGGTCTTCCTTACATGATGTAGAATGATGGCTTGGTTTGCTGCTATGATTTCATTAATTTTGCATGGGACGGAAAGCCCAAAAAAGCATAGTGTTGGTTGTATGGACTCTGAATTACTCGCCCACATTATAGCTTGCAGTTATGAAGTTTGTTTTCGGTCTTAAAAGTATTGCCTGCTTATCTAATAAAATGGCTACCTTAAAATAATAAACACTTTGAAGTACACAGAAGTGGTTTTGGCATTGCTTAGCAGAAGACTGAGACTTGCTGGTCAATCTCTGTCACTGATCACCTTTTTTCATCTGCCATATTGACAACAAAGAATCATGAAACACGGGACGTGATGTTAAACTGTCCGTTGTGCCAATGGATGGTACACATGAGGTTTCCCTTGATGTTGAGAGGAACGGGAGCTGTATCTCAGACATGGGGATGATGTGTCCCGAAATTAACATCATCAGTAGTGTGCCTTTGAGTCATAGGGTGTTTCGGCCTTTCAACACTAGACACCCTCATCAAAGGTGGCCGGCTACAGGGTGATTTGGCCTGAGCTTGTGTCCCGTGCCCAATCATGAAAATTGCCTTGTTGTTCGGCACAGCTCACCAGACTATGCAAGGTAGGGGCGTCTTCTTCCCTGAGTCAAGCCTCGAGCTGACCACCTACCTTGTTCCTCTCCTCCTGGAGGGTTCTGACCTGGGTTCTTGAGTGGGTGGGGATTAGTGAGCGGGTCATGTTGATGTTCTATGAGCCCAGCAAGGGTCCTTCCGCTTGAACCATGTCCACTGGCTGCTGCTTTCGTCCGCTTCGGAGATTGAAACTTAGTAATGGACTGGCTGCAGTAATTTGTATTATTTTCAGAGTAACTTTTTATAGATGGAAACTTATAAAGTGAAACCCAAAACAATCTGCAGCTAAAATCGTTGTCATTGGATTTCAAATGTCAGCTCTTTTTTTTTTTTTTTTTTTTTTTTT